GCACATTACAACCCTTCATTTTTAATGAAATCCTGATCTGCATTTTTTCAGTCTTTCAACTCAGGCTCTAAAATAGCAATCAGAAATGGCCAAGTACAGGAGACAAAGTGCAAGACAAGTATCTCACGTTCCACCGGAGTGCCTTCAGACAAGCCTTCCCGGCATCTTCTGCAAGGGGGCAGAAGACTTGACAGTGCTCACTGGCACTATGCAAAAGTTGCCAGGCAGTTAACTTATCTACCCAAGATTTGAATAGCATAGCCACACTGTATTTTGAAAAATAAAGGCCATGAGTCCAAAGACAAGGGCAGAAATCAGATCTCTGACAAGGTAGCACAGAGTATCAGTTACAAGGTACTACGGAAAGTCTTCAGACGGGAGAGTACCACAGAGCTTGGCACCTAAATGCATGCTGTGAATCGGGAATCACTGGGAAAGCCCTAAGAATTCAATAGCCCAACACTGCTCCAGTTTCCTCCAAGCAGCAGACAGAGGATGATTCTGATGAGGTTTGTCCTTTGTTTTTTTTAACCATGCAACACCGTAAAACATTGTCATAAAATTCTGTGTTATTCGCACATTGTCCTTGTCACCATTGATTACACGAACTCCTGTCTTTAAAATGTTTTAAGAAATTCTTCAAGCTAGATGATGCTGACCCTAGCTTTCTAGAATTTATCCCTGCAAAACAATTTGCTTATTTAATCCTCTGAGGGCTTTACTTTGGCACGCTGGGTTCTGAGCTACTTTTGCACATACTAGGTTTGAGTTTGCTGCAAATGTTCAACAGCACTCCTGCTTTTCAAATTTTACTGCTTCTAACAGAAACCTTGGCCTTGGCCAATGTTATTGGTCTTGTCCAATAACTAACTGTGTGTTATTAATAATGATGTCCAGCACAAGGTATTATAAGCACTTAAAGGACCCAATTCACATCTTCAAAGACCATTAAGGTACTTGGAGAGCAACCTCCTGCTCAGGACTGTATGACCAGGACCATACTGTTCAAGCCTGGGTGAGGGGACCCCAGACATGGCCAGTAGCGCACAGTGTTTGCAGAGGGGTTGTGCAGTGACCTCCCTGGATGGACAGACAGACAGATGGCCACCTGGCCACCTCGCGGTGCATTCGTAGCCCTAACTGTGTGACTGGGCGGTGCCCGAAAATCGTGCAGCCACTGTTCACCGTCACTTTCGATCACGCTGTGCTGCCACCAGTTCATGCCCCCCAGCCTCACCCAGTGACCACTGGCAACCAGAGTTCAGCTTCCAAGCAAACTGTTTTCCCTTCTTCAGAGCACTGGTCAAAGAAAATGTTATGATGACGTGACAGGAGTTGACAGACACTTCTGCAGAAGGGAGACCAGCAAAGTAGAAGCTGAGTACAAGAGAGTGGACACTACCTTCCTATTGTCTATAATCAGAGAAAAAAACTTCTATTCACTATATGCAGACCTGTGTTGATAGAAATAGCGCCAAGTATGAATTAAGACCTCCAAACAGACTCCCGCAGCTGTTGTAAGACAGATATAAAGGAAGGAGGGATTTTTTTCAGCCACGTGAAGGCAAACAATAGTGCAGAGCAGGCAAAGTGACAGGGACAGATTTGACAAAGAGGGCCACTAGCCTCTTCCCGGAGCTGCCTGGGCTCGCTCTGCGGAGGACCATTGCATACGTGTGTAATGGACCGTTGTGCACAAGCGTGACGGACCGCAACGTGACAGATGTTGTCCTTCTGCTCGTGTGCACAGCCACCAGAAGACTTGTAGCACGAACAGCAGATCCCCAGGCCAATGTACATCACATCGTGTGGTATCAGAGTCCCTCTCGCAATGCACCATACCACTGGCTAACGTAGCCCTTCTCGCTACTTCAAAAACTTAAAATCCGAATTACAGGGAAGATGCAAAATTCATCTTTCTTGCAGAGAAGGACCAGCTGGACCAAACACCTCCTTCCTGATGCCTGTGCCTCAACCCTGCTGGGCCTTCAGACAGTTACACAAACTGGGGCTGACGTGGGCCCTATGCCCAGCTCAGCTTCTGCTTACTTTTTTCAGGGATGAGAAGCAGTAAGAAATAATAGCTGCAGTCCATTCTCTGACAGCTTTTCAGATGCGTTTCCTCACCACATATTCAGCTCTGACTACAAGAGCAATGACCTAATGTACAGTGGGTGTCATAAACTGTGAAGTCCCTAAAAGGAAATGTCACTGAAAAAAGAGGAGGAACTTAAAATTACATTCCAATCTGTCACAAAATTTTCAGTTCAAATACTCACACTTTCACCTGGCAAATAGTTCTATAATATATATTCAAATACCAGCAACTTGTTCAGCTTTTGTTCAGTTCCCAGCAAACTACAGTCCCTACTGCTACCTTTTTAAGGGATACATTCATGCTTTTTAGGTTTGCCACAGGAAGACACGTGAAGTGTCATTAAAAATACTTCTAAAAAAACCTCCAAATCTTAGCAACTGTAAAATATACCTTCTTAGAGATGGTAACATGACAGAGCTTTAAAGCACTCCTGGCACAGGTTTCTTGAACCTTCAACAGGATATTGCTTCTGCTGCGATCATCCACACTGCCACGCACATGCAAGACACATGACTCTCCTATTCATGAGCCACAAAGGGATCTTCATTGATGAGACCAAACATCTGACATAAAGAAACCTGTCAGAATGACTCTCTTGCCAGCACACTGGGCAAGCTGAAGCAGGGACAGGGCAAGGAGGAAACATATGCAAAAAAAAAGAATGTTATTCACTCAGTCTTGTAGACTGTAATTGTAAGGCTTTTGTAGCCTTTGTATGGAAAGATGGGTGTTCTGGATGCTTGTGTTTCATAGGAGTCCATAGGCATGAAGGTCAGCTTGTCTCTACAGACTGTAACCTCCATGCAGGCAGATGCTCATCTTTATCCTGGAAGCCAGTCTCTCTGGCGTTAGTCATTTCAGTAAGGCACTGTGGCAAAAGGTGTGGACAGAGGTGTTCTTTTGCATGGAAGTACACACCATAAAGCAAATAGCTTTCATAAGGATAACATTTACTCAGGAAAAAATAATACACTCCTTGAACCACTTTATTATAGCAACATGAAGTAGTTGGCTTTGATGATGTTTGTTGTAGAAACACTCTTTTCAAAAGTACTACACATTGTTCTACCTCAACTTTGAGAGGACTGATGCAAGGGCTCTGTTTGACTGATGGTTTACGTTGCGCAGTTTGAGACCAAAACTGTTTGTTCCGTATCCACATGCTGCCTTTTTGCTGGAATAGACACCCAAAATGGCTGTAACAAGCCTTCAGTCCACTTCGAAAAAGGCAGTGTGATTCCTTGAGCACAGTGTGGTCAGCTTCCCAAAACAATCACAACAAATCTAGGGCTGGGGCGTAAGCTCCAGGGAAAGGAAGGCTTTACCCCGCAGAAAGCAAGAGGGCAGATTGACTGACACCAGCTATTTCGGTACTAGGCTGTGCCTGTTTCCATGGATGTGGATGCTGATTGCCACACAATCTCTTCAGTGCAGTTAGTGGAAGCTTGTAACAGATATGGGGAGCAGGAATGTTGATAAGGACAAATGAACTCTTGATTTCCAGACACAAGTCAAGCTTTCAAAATCATTAATGCTTTGCCTAACAGCTAGTTATAGTTTACAGAGCATTAGAAATACCAAACATAAATCTTAACATAATACCAATAATAGTATAACTATATAAATAGGGAAGCCAGAAACCTGCAATGCTCCTACCCTTCTCATTTCAGGGATGATTATTCTGCCTCTTACTGGGCACCTATTCATATCTACCACATTGTTACCATGATTGTTTCCTAAAACACTCAGTAATTCTGCTGCTTTACCTGCCTTGCTTGAATCAATACATTTAGTTTCATGTCACAATCTCATGATTAGCCCAGCTGGTTTGCGCTTAAAGTTCATTCAGTGACACCCAGTCTGCCTCCTACTCACCTTTTCTTTTATGTCACATTGGTAAAAGGACTACATACACTGTGTATTTCTGTTGACACACTTAAGATCTGTAACACACCACACCAGGGCCCATTAAATAACTCTTCATCAGACTGTTGGTATGGCTCTGATATTCTGCTAAGAACAAGTCATTCAATTATTTGCACTGTTCTTCAACTCATATATACACTGGGCTTCTTATTCCTTGCTAGAAACTCTTCAGATGTTACCTTGCCTTTCATAAACAACATGACCGCGTATTCTTGTCCCGTGAACTCGTTTTGTATGTATTAGATGACTAATAACGTAGGTTTTCTCAGGAAAATCAACACGTGAAAGTGGCATTAATTTTGAGATAATAGGAGAAACCAAGTCTTCTTAAGTCAGAAAATTAATATAAAGACCTCCATTTAAAATAAATCCAGACATAATAAAAAGACAGCTGTTCATCTGTCAGCCAACCATAACTTTGCCCTGCCAGAGCACCTTACGGGAAAAAAAATAGATCTTTAAGAACATTTTTAACAAACTGGATCAGCAAATATTATTGTACATAACGAAAATAACACTATATTATATATTCAATGTTTGTGTTTTGAGTTTGAGCTTCCTCAAATTTGGATGTTTCAACTTCTTTTAACTTTAACTCTGAATTTCCTCAGTATGCACAATAGTAATGCTTATGCTTTTAAACTACTTAGACCTAACTTCAAATCAAATTTGTTGAGCTATAATTTTATAATTTTAAATTAAAAAAAAAAATGTTCATTAGTACCCTGATGTAATAGTTGCTATCATTAGTCTAGGACCCCACTTTTCATAACTGACAGTTTAATCCTCTTGGCCAATTAACCAATTAAATTACTATTCTACCTAAATTCAGACAGCAGAAGAATAAAAAAAGATAGTGAATACAAGTATGTTTACATTTTGGTAAGCTCTCGTTCACTGTAAGGCAGCGCAATATGAAAAGTTTCCAGTAGAATATATCCTAGAGCAAAAGAGACAAAAAGAAACTGTAACCTACCTCATATTCCCTGCCATAATGAGGAACAGATTATAAATGTGAGAAAAAATGAATAGGAAGAGGATGGTACTGAAGAACATCGTCATCCAAGACCCGTGGTCCTCTCGAAACATTTTCAGACGGAGCAACTGACCTGTGGTACGAATATTATGAGAAAGCGCATTTTAGTCAGTCAGTAAATACATGTTTACAAGATAACAAAACCAAAATAGAGTACTAAACTGTAATTCTTTTTATATCCAATTATTTCACCGTGTGGGGGTGTGTTGGGTTTGTGTGGCAGGGGTTTTGGTAGCAGGGGAGGGTCCGCAGGGCCGGCTCCTGTGAGAAGCTTCTAGAAGCTTCCCTGGCTCCGAGTTGGACCCGCCTCTGGCCCAGGCTGAGCCCATCAGTGACAGTGGTAACACCTGTGGGAGAACAGATTTAAGAGGGGAAACCTGCACCAGGGGAGGAGATTGGAATGGGAGAGGAACCCCTGTGCGGATACTGAGGTCAGTGAGGAAGGAGGGAGGGGAGCCCATGCTGGAGCAGGTGGGTGCCCCCCAAGATGGCTGTGACTCCATGGGAAAGCCTGTGCTAGAGCAGTCTGTGCCTGAAGGACTGCAGCCCGTGGAAGGGACTCATGCTGGAGTAGTCTGTGGGGGACTGTCTCCCATGGGAGGGACCCCACGGTGGAGCAGGGGAGGAGTGAGGAGTCCTCCCCCTGAGGAGGAAGGAGCGGCAGAGACAAGGTGTGAGGAACTGACCCCAACCCCCATTCCCCATCTCCCTGTGCCTCTGGGGAGGAGGAGATAGAGAAAATTGGGAGTGGGGTTGCAATGGGAAGGAGGGAGGGGTGGGGGGAAGGTGTTTTAAGATTTGGTTTTACTTCTCAGTATCCTTTGATTTGATTTGTAGTAAATTAAATTGATTTTGTTTCTTCCCCAAGCTGAGCCTGTCTTTTGCCCGTGACCATAAGTGGTGAGTGATCCTCCTTGTCCTTGTCTCGACCCACGAGCGTTTCTTGGTATTTTCTCCTCCCCGTCGCACTGGGGCGGGGGGGAGGAGTGAGTGAGCAGCTTTGTGGTGCTTTGTTGCCGGGTGGGCTGGCAGATTTAGTATCATGCAGCCAAGCTCTACTCTTCTGTAGTTCAGCATGAACAGATATTATTCCTACAAAATTACAAGGTTCCTTCCCACAAACTGATGAAAAACTGGTTTGGGCTCTCACAGTCAAAATCACTGAGGTGGAGGTCTGAAGGAGTCCACATCATATCCGTGGCACCTGATCAAACCGTGGCTGTGGTTTTACAGACACAACATGTGATTCTGCATGCTGGTTAAGCAGCTTTCACTGTTTCCCTGTTTCAGCCGTTAGTATCTCTACCCACTCTGCTCTCATGCTGGCACAGCAAGCTGAGCAGCCGTGCATAAGTGAACAAGAGTAGGGAACTGACCCATCTAGAAAAAAAAGAAAATTTACCTTGTTTTGGTTTTTTTTCTTTCATGTGAATTAGTTCCATCAACCTGCTGACCTTAAAGCTCAATGAACAGTAGTGCTGCACATCTGTGCAAAAATCGGAAGGAGTGATGGATTGGAAGGGCAACTGCCTAAACCATCACATTTTCCAGAAACTGTTACATCCTAACACTCAAAAACAAATGCCACAGCAGTGAAGATGTCATGGAATTAGTCTAAACCTCAAGGCAAGAGCCACTTTTTAGTGGCATTTGAACAGTGTTTTTAGGAAACAAGTCTATTTATAAATTTTGAAGTGTCATCAGTACCTCAGGCTGCGTGAGATTCATTATTTGCTGCCAGTTATTTCTGGATCACTAACAAAAGAGTCATTAAATGTTGATGGTTGCCTGTCTCTTTCCACTGACTACAGAGAGCATCAGGTCAAATATCATGACATGGTAACAGTGATCTCATCATATGTGTGTGTCTAGCTTGTGAAAAACACCAACATGGAATAGAATTGGGGATTCAGGACATTTGGGCTCATGAGAAGAAGAATTATTTGCTTTTCTGAGAAGGTGACTGCAGGACCAGTTGAGGATGAAAGAAATTGCCTGGACTAGAGGGAAACTCCATGTACCAGAGGAAAAGCCATCCTTTGAGTCAAAGATGACTCTTGCTGAAGCCCCAAAGTACACAAAAATACATGGTTAGTAATAAGTAAATAATCACCTCTCCTGTCAGTAAAACTGAGATGATAATATTGTGCAATGTCACTGCTCTATTTCGTGAGGTAGTACAAGGCTGCCACATGTTCTTGTGGACTGGTCATCTAATGTCAATACAGGAAACTGAAAAAGTCTTTGACTCCAATACTACTGAACTGCTCAGCTGGGATGGCCTCACCCAATGGAGTGATATGTGCTGGACAAGTGCCAGGAGCCTTAGAATCAGTTTCAGATTCAACTAGAGACCTCCAGTGACATTATGGACAAATCATTTACACTCTACCACAAAGGTAAAGAATAATATTATTCTCTTTCTTACAGTGTAGACTTTTGCTACATTATACCACAACAAGGCCACAAACTGATTAAGCCTGTAAGTGGTAACATAAAAAAAATCATATCACAAAAGAGAATAGGGCTTACAGCCATACCTATGATGTAATTACTATTAATCTCCTAGTAAGATATGTACACCAAATGTTGTCACTGTGTCAGAGAACTAAACATTCCCTAGAGTGCTTGACCTATGATTGTTTCTCATGGTAATGTTCTTGCCATTTCACAAATGTATACTACAATTTGTCGGCGCAAGGTGGATTTTACTGTCCTATCCTCAAAAGTCTTATTGCAATACAACACTCTTCCCTATCCTGCTTTTTGTAGTTTATACTTGGTTTTAATGGTTCCTGCTTTTTCAAAGGCTATTTACTTGCAGTGATTAATGATCCAAATAGGACTGGGTGAATGATGCTGGAAAGGTGTAGAACTATTTTTTCAGTGCTTGACTCCCAGCAGGAACAACACCTAACATCCCAGATGGGATTTCAAAAGGGCTTTGTACCAAGGGATAACATTTAACATGTTTAAGAGCAATATAGTTGCTACAGTGGTCACTTTTACTATTAAGGTAACATCAGGAAGACTGATCAAACTACCATGCAGTTTATTAAACTAAAATTTGTCAAATGCTGAGTTATAATGCCTCACTGTGATATTACAAAATAAGCTCCTACAGCCTGAATATTTTTTCACCATTCCTACACAAAGAAAAATCTCAGTTCCTTCTGCATGTTTTTTCTGTATCCTATTTTCAAATGTTAGACACTGAATATGAAATCCAAAGGAAAAAAAAAAGCAACAATAACTTACTAATAATGGTATTTTTAAGAGATGCTGAGAAATATTACAAACCATTACAATTCATTTCAAATGCTAAAAAAAAGATTACTGATTCATACATCATTTTCCTTTTCATGTCTAAGAAAGCTTTTCTCATGTGAAATAGAAGTATGTCCCCTGGCATGCCTTATTTGCTTCACTAATTTCATTAAGAAATCAAATTATGAGACTGTGTAGAATCTTGTAGCGTGTGTTCTTCTTAGGCCTAAGTACTTTAATCATGTCATGTGTTATACTTCATTCTGCAGAGAATGCCTTTTTCAAAGAGTAGTGGTATGTCTTGTCACTTGAAAAGAAGCTCTGCTTACTCTCACCATTGGTGATAGGTGAAACTTTTGTCATGTTTTCTTCAGGAACATACTTGTCCTGGACTAGCTTTCCTTCTCCATCTTCTCCTCTTACCTTTTTCTCTTTGTCCTTCTCTGTTATCATAAACACAAAAGCTTCTCACTTCTATTTCTTGTAGCCCTTTATCCTTTTCACCTGCCCATATAATTTCACTCTATCCAATTTCCAGATCTTTATGTCTGCTCTCAACCCTCTTTTCCTTTTCTGAATCTCTCCATCTTGTCCAGCCCTCTCCTTTCCCAAAACAAACATATCTACTGGTTTTTAGCATTGTAATAGCCTCTATAGTTGCTTCTGCAAGAATACCCTATCATCTTTCTGTCTTTCACCTCTGTCTTTCATCACTGTTTATTCACTGTCAGGAGGGTTTTTTTCTCCTAGACCCCTACGAGTCTGGTGCAGCTCCTTGAGCTGTTCTTATCAGAATTTCTAATCACCACTTTCTTAAAGTTCAGCCATACTAGTTCTTCCTCATCTGGTTGAGTGTCACACCCCCCAATCTAGTTGTTCATACTCTTCTTGACACCCTGACCTCCTTTTGTGTTCACAACTCTTGTCTTCTAGCAGCTCTCCTTCTACCTCTACTGATGTTAGTAGGTAGTTTGTGTAAATCACCATCCCTCATACTTGCATACCCCTGTAACTAACAGAGTATCATTGTTTTATCATGGGTTGCCTAGATGGTCTATGTTTTTTCCAGATAGAATTTTTCTTTTCTAAAACCAGGTGGATTTTTTTAATGTGTTCTTTGATTATTTGGAGTATTGAAAACCTCACCAGTGCAAGAGATGGGAATTTGCTTTTGCAAGGTGGAGAGTGCCACAGCAGAAGCCAAGAGGGGTAAGGAAGACAACCAATAATTCAAGCAGTAAGGTGAAGGACAGAATCTAATGAGGAGATAGTGCAGTCAGGTGCTAGAAGATGTCAAAATAGGGAAAACGGAAGGAAAATGAGGAGCTGGATAGGAAGTATCAAGAAAGGTGATACAGCAGACTGAGAGGTGGGATGGTCTGGGATGGAGGCAATCTCTGGGAGCTGTTGTTGAACTGCAAAGTCCAGTTTCAGTATGGATTAGGGCTGGACGCATGGGGAAGCTATCAAGTGGGGGAAATTAGTAAAAAAGTGAGGTGTTCATTCAGGGAATGAAATGGCAGGACTGGCGTGCGCTGCTGAAGATTAGAGATGCAGGTTTGGGGCCTGGAGCAGACCTGGACTATGGGCTGAAGTGGGAGGTAGGATTTGAGCTCTGCAGTAAGCAGAGTTGGAAGATGAGAGTTCTCTGACAGGGCTGAGATTTTGGAACGAGGTGGGAACCATGAGGCAGCAGAAGTGATAGGTAGGTAGGTGGGGTGAATCAAGCTCTGCAATGGGGCAAGAGCAACATAGGTCCTCGGACCAGTCCAGCAGTGGGGCAGCAATAACAAGGATTCTGGCAGT